GGGCCAGAAGACAGTTGCAAAAGAAGTCTCGGTCACCAGTATTCAAATCACATACAAGCCAATATTGTCCAAGTAGGCCGTACTTGTACTTACTTGTAGGCCGTAGAGATTTTAGTCGAGTTTGACGGGCTAAATTTTGGTTAGCTCAAGCGACAGGCGTGAGTTTTATCAGTATCACTTCGACCAGTCTATTCGAATAAAAAAACCGCCTTCTAACGATGATTAAATCCACAACTTTAACAGAAAACGTAAGTTTGAAGTAAGACTGCATTCGATTTGATACTGAATCCAAAGAGTCCCGAACGCACGGAAAGTCCACAAACGGTTCTACTCTGGGGGCCAGACATTGAGGAGGACAGCTGTCCAGGCATTAGCGTGCGAATCACTCCCACGCACCTTCCGCTTGAAATACTGTTAGGTACCTACTGCACGGATCTCACTTCTCTTTTTTTCCCGAATGTCTTAGTCAACAGTGCTACTTAGGGGGTGATTCCAGTTTCACAGGCAGATGAACATGGCCAACAAAGGCTGAAATTGCCCTTTCTAGTTCATCAGCATTCATCACCCAGTCATACCCAACCCTAGGTATTGCACCACCCAAAGCTCGAATCCACGACCTGTTGATTAGAAGTCCAATAGTTTAACCCACTGCGGCACAGGCATGTTGTCTTGCTAGTTTTGTCGGATTACATAAACAAGACTTTTCATCATCAAGATAGGGACTTCCAGGAAGGCCTTTTCTGGCTTATTAGCCGTCGTCAGCTGGAGATATCCAACTCCAGTGTAGCAGCGGAAATTGCCACCACATTCGACTTTCGAACCCGCGACCCTGTTATTTAGAGGCCAATGCCCTATCTACGAATAAACAAGACTGCTAGTAAAGTAAGATTTCAGTTCCTCAACTCTTCTATCAGGTTGCCCGTAGTGGTCAGCATTGGCCATCATCATCGGTTTGTATTTGAGGCGACGGACTACAAGCAATGTATCGGCGCCTCTGTGTAGCATGCTCACGCGAAAGTAGCCTGCGTTCATTGAAACCCACGAAGGTCGGCAAGGCCACTGGTGCATTCAAAAGGAATATAAAGATAGATCTGATACTGAGTTACCCTTCCTAACCACAACATCACGACGCAAAAGGTCTTAGATGGGAGATCTGGTTACGCATATAACAGTACTGGAAACAATATCATCAGAAAAGTAAAAATCTGCTAATTTCACGAAAGTGTGGACGCAGTTTTTTTACCTGAAAAAGCAGTTAGGACCTGCACTTCCGGTATTAATATAGGACCTTTGTAACAACACTTAATTTAAATCTTCTTGGTTTGGAAAAGCAAAAAAAACAAACAGGAATGAAACAATTACCTGGCGCTTCAGAGGCCGTCTTGGCTATGGGCTCTAGAAGATGACGGAAGAAGATGAGCTGCCGATAAAGTTGAGCTTCAGAGTACCGTTGATGCAGCATGCTTTGGCCCCCACAGGCAGGGCATAAAGGTCTACCAGCAGCCGTCCACAGGCCAGAGCTGCCTGCGCCGGATATCCGTCTTGTTTCCTCATCCGAGTCGTCGGCGTTACTGGAG